ATTTTGTTTGCTCAGATTGTTACAGCTTTGGCCTTTGAGGTTTCTTTGAGTTGGTGCCAGTGTCCCCTTGACACATTCCCATCAGTTTGTGCTTTGAGTGCTTCCTTACTTCCTGGTACTATAAGATGCTACAAGGTTCATCTAGTACTTTCCTTGCCCCAGCTCTAAAAGCCCGCAGTTCTGTGAGGAGACATGGTTCCTTTTATTGAAGAATGCTGTTAGAAACCAAGATCTGAGCATTGCATGCGCTTATTGCTTGTGGGGTGTTACTGCTTCTAGACCCTGTGAGAGGACAGAGCTGAGAAATATTTGTGATCACGCTCAGGAATGTGTGTACACTTTTCTATAATCTGTCCATCTACTCTCGTCTATTTGACCAAACATGAGTTTATATAGACATCTTCATCTGTAATTAGTGCTGCATGGATCATTCTAGATCCCCCCCTTGCTTATCTGTAACTTCTGCCTCTTTGAGAAACTTGGCTCCCACCCAATTGTCCAGCCACCCACTTACTTGTTGGATCCCAGTACATATGTACAGCATTTCAATCTCTCTAACCTGTACCCCATGTGATCCCCACACGATATGGTTCTTCTGTTCTTCTTCTCTATTGGCCATTCATCTTACTCCCCAAGAAGAGGTTTGGTCTAGTTCAGTGTAAACTCTAATGAGAGTAAAGATCTCCTTTAGACATTTCAAGACAAGGATAACCCACTGGATGCTTTAGAAACCATTGTCCTGCGTTCTGTGGTGGCCACAGCATTGCTTCATCCTGACCTTCCTGTCTTCTTGGTTATGTGCCCAGAAATTGTATGGCTCCCCTTGTGTATGACAGCACACATCCTAAGTCATTGTTTCAGTTGAGAGAAAGACTTTGTATAATGCAGGAAGAAAACTTAAATGTTCCCTAATCACTGTGCTATTTCTTTGTTCTTTATAAAGATAAGTGGCAAAGTTATAATAAAAAAAAAATACAATAGAAATAAAAATGTATAGTGATAAATGTAGTAATAAACTGAAAAGGCACACTCACACATGAAAAAGCCATATTTTAAAGAAATAAAGATTGGTTTGCTTTGGTCTTTTTACTTCCTTAAAGCACACACTTATTACAGCAGGGGGTTATCAAAGTATTATTTACCATACCATACATGATTTTTCTTTCTTTTTGTTATTATTGGGCTTTAGAAATGTATTCACATTAATCTTCAAATATTTAAAGATATTTAGAGAAAAATGAGACCATCTTTGCCACCTACTTTTTCCACAGAGCAGCTATCAACTTGCACCAAATCAGTACCAGGAGGTTTTTTTCTAAATGATGTGTCACTACAAAATACATGAGATTGGATACTGTGCCTCACTTTCTCAGTGACTGAAGTAATTATGTGTGGAGAAAAATGGGATCTGACTTACCATATGACACTAAAAATGCTACAAACTCTCATATTAAATAATTTACTTTTCCTAGGAAGCCCTGACATTCAGTTCTCAGATCTCAAAGGGAAGAATTTCCAAGCCTAAGATTTACCTTATTTTTAAATAGCTTAATTATATTTTAATTAGTATACATTAACAATATGAGGGGAGGGTTCATTGTAGAATATACATACAGTGTGCTTTAAACAAGCTCACCCCCTCCATTATATTCCCATTTCCCTCCTTCCCCCTTTTCCAGTGGGTGGATTTCATTATGCTGTCTCAAACATATACATGTAGCATATTTCTAGCCTCTTCCCTCTTTTCTTTCCCCCTCTCCTCTCTCATTAATCCCCCCAGATTATTCCCCCTTCATGTTCATGTCCCATCATCATTTTAGGTCAAGGACCTACAAGTAAGTGAGAGCATGTGATATTTGGCTTTTTGAGTTTGGCCTATCTCACTTAGCATGATGATCTCCAGTTTTATCCATTTTCTTGCAAATGACATAATTTCATTTCCTTTAAGACTGAATAGCCCATGGTGTGTGTGTGTGTGTGTGTGTATTATTTTCTTTCTTTGTCCATTGGCTGTTGGGCATCTCAGCTGATTCCACAGTTTAGCTAATATTATGAACAGAGCTGCAATAAACACAGGTATGCAGGCATCTCTCTTGATTCTGATAATTATTTCTCTTGATGTACAGAAACCTTTTAATTTGATTCAGTCCCATTTGTCAATTCTTGCTCTTATTTCCCATGCAATTGAAGTCTTTTTCAGAAAATGTTACCTATTCTTATATCTTCCAGTTTTCCTTATTTTTTTCCTGTAGTACTTTCAAAGTTTCAGTTCTTACATTAATATATTTTATAAATTTGGAGTTGATTTTTGTACATGGTGAGAGATATGGGTCTAGTTTCAGACTTCTGCATATGGATAGCCAGTTTTTCCTCCATTGTTTGTTGAAGAGTCTGTCTTTTCTCCATTGTATGTTCTGTCCAAGCCTTTAATTTATTTTATATAATAATTATTTAGCCTAATTTATTTGGCCTTTACGTTCACATTTGCATTGCAACTACCTAATTGGTAAAATTCTGTTGAATTGGAAAATAAAACTGGCATGTGTTCTTTTAATTCTTACCAGTTAGTGGTGTGAGGAAGTTCTGATAGATGTGGGCTTAATTCAGTAGGAAAATACATTGAGTTGTATCATTTAAAATGTCTGTATTTGAATAGTTAATGACTGTGTTTCAGAATATGCTATATTTAAAAATGTAGACTCTAGTGTGTAAAGTCTGATGAACAACTCTGATAGTATGAACATGTTTTATATACTTGTGTATGGATAGAACATTGAAACCTGTGGATATTTTAAGTCAAGGAGAGGGGGACGAGGGAGAATGATGGTGGGGATGAACCTAATCAAAGTACAGTGTAAGCAGATATGGAAATGTCACAATGAACCCCTTCTACAACCATTCCATCTCTCTACCTGCTGCCTTCTGTCACCTAGGGAATTGTTTAATTTTTGGTTCTGTTTGTTTACTTTTGCTTACGGGAGAAAAATAGACTGTGCTTGATTGATTCACATGGAAAGCTAAGTTTTTATGGTGTGTCAGGAAAGCAGATGTGTGGTTTGGGAGATGAAGTTCCCATCCCATTGTAAGAAAATAAGAACTGGATGTTTGCAGCCACAGAGATAAGAATTTGAGATGGAAACTTTAGTTCCTCCATTTACCATAGTTTGGCCTTTTGTGTTTTACAACATTTAAATTGTTCAAAGTTAAGCTCTTCCAGGGCTGGGAGAGTGTGGCTCAAGTGGTAGAGTGATTTCTAGCAAGTGTGCAGCCCCAAGTTCAGTCGAACACCAGTACCATGCAGACCTACACACACTCTCTCTCTCACACATCCACAAACACGTAAGCAAAACTAAGCTCTTCTGTGAGAGTTCAGCACAAAGTCTCATGAAGACGAAAAACCACACACTGACTTCTCACTGGGTTTGCCTTCTAGTTTAGGGGTAGAAGAGAAAATTTTACTTTAGTGTGGTTTAGTCCTGTCCCCCTCCCCCCCATCTCTATCTATTGTGCTATAGCTGAAAATAGGGTTAGGACCGCTTATGGAAGAATAAGTGGACAAGTGCCAGTCTTGTATTTGCAGTTTACCCTAGCAGTGCACAGCCTCCAATCCCCTCTGCCTAGGTAGCACCTGAAAATCAGAGGGGCATCACTAAAGGGAGAAATGGGATTCAGCCATACTTATTTGGAAGGAGGACTCATAGGATTAAGGAGTTGGAAACTTGGTTGTCTTTTATCATTCAGTTTGAGATTTTCCTGGTTGTTGGTATGTCAAATGATATTTGACTGAAACTTGAACTTTGTTTTGTATTATGTTCTGAAACCCTGGATCTTATGGAAGCTTTCTGCTTTTATTGGCTTTGTCTGATACTTCTCTAGTAAGGAAGCAGTGAGTGCCACTGGTCACTCCTGCATAGAAGTAAAATCCAGGTTCCCCACTATCCTCAGTTAACACACAGAGGAGGGGGTCCTCATCACTGTTGGATGGGGTGGGATTTCCAGATCCCTGCATGGTCTTCATTAACACTGTAGTGAAGTTGGTCTTATTCCCAGTGAGCAATGGTTTGACATCACCAAGATTAGGGAAAGGGAGAACATCTGGCTATTGCTCAGAGGGGTGAAAGTCCAGGCCCCCTGCATGGTCTCCACTGACACCAGGGGATGCTTCTTTGTCAGCTGGCTGGCTTGCAGGCCTTGGATCTCTCTGTGGTCTTCTCTCACACCACTCTGGCAGGATATTAGGGTTCCTAGTTAGTTAGGGAAGTCGAGTTTCTCCACTTAGCTTTCGCTGGCATGGAGGATCTTGGTTTCATCAGTGGTGTTTGGCCGGAGTAGAGTACCTATTGTCTAAACGGTCTCTGTCTTGCCAGGTTGTTCCTTTCCTGGTCCTACAGCTATAGAAAGAGGGCTTGACCTCTTTGGGTCTGTGACCATTGGTATTTCCGGGTGGCTGACATCTTCAGCTGCAAGTGTGGGAAATGTGAGGCAGAAAGGAAACCCAGGGATCTCCATATCAGGTTGCTTCTTGGGTTCTGGGGCCTCAGGCTAGTCTCCCTTCTCTTCGCCTTGTAGAACCTTCTTATATATTTACTTACCATTTAACTCCAGACGTTTTTCCTTTAAGCTGCATTCGGTTCCCGTCTTCCAGAAGCAGGGGTGCTTGCTGTGCACTTTTTGCTATTACTTCTTTTTTCCCCTATATTTTTATTTTGAAAGTCTTCAAAAATGCAGGGAAGATACCAGGCATGGTGGCACATGTCTATAATCACAGCACTTGGGAGGCCAAGGCAGGAGAATCACAAGTTCAAGGCCAGCACAGGCTACATAGAAACCCTGCCTCAAAGAGGAAAGCAAACAAAAAAATACAGAAAAGATAAAAGCATTGTATTCTTCCCTCACATATCCACCAAATAGCCCCAATATTTTGGGATATTTTACTTTATAGCATACATATACATCTGCTCATGCATTCATCCATTTATTATTTTTGAAGTATATCAATACAAGTCACCTCTAAACACTTCAGCATGCGTATCAATTAGACATCACTCTGTTTATGGTTTCCCTAAGGTAAATTTTACATAAAATGAAATGTACAAAATCATAAAGACCACTTGACCAGTTTTACATTATCCAACAGCTATTAAAATAAATCCCACCACCCTTAAGCCCCTTCCTAAATAATTCGTACCTCCCTCTCATTCCAAGAAGAAACTACTGCTCTCATTGTCTTTGTTCTTTTCTTGCCATCGATTCATTTAGAAATTTTGTATAAATGGAACCATAAATGCACCGCAGCTATTTTTCTGCATGGCCTTCTTAGCACGGTGTTTGAGAACTGTGTTCTTGTTGTTCTTTGTTGCCACGGATTTATGCAATGGCTTAGCAAAAGGAAAAGAAATAAGTAGGTCTGTTCTATCTTCCTGGAAGTGGCTGTCCTTGCTATTGAATTTTTATCTGTATTTGTTTTCTTCCTCAATATTTTATTGTGGGAAATTTCCAAAATACAGAGAAGATGAAAAATTGTACCTCCCCCACCCCCGCCCACATATCCAACTAGAGTCAACGCTTCTCATTTTGCTGTAGTTTACCTTATTGTGTACGTGTGCATCTACTCATTTTTTTTAAATTACAGAATGCTGTCTTATTGAATGGATAATACCATAGTTCACCCATTGTGGACTGCCACCAAAATATGGAAGTTAGGACAATGTAAGCTATTGCTATCGTCCTTCTGTTTAGAATATCTTTCAAGGCAATTTAAGATTTTTGTGCTACAAAGATATGTTTTATCACTTGCAATACCCATGTTTTTCATGTATTTCTTGCTGTTAACGATAGCTATGCTTGTTTGTTTGCTGCTAAAACTTTTGTACCAGAAGCAAAAGATAGTTTTAGCATTATAAAAATAGAATTTAGCTTCCTGGCACCAAATTTTATTTTGTGATGGTTTTAACTACACCACAACTGTGATATTCATTACTGAGAAGCCAAGCTAGCCTCAGGAAGAACATCCTATTTCGGGAATACTTAGAATATTCTATTCCTGCACAAAATATTAAGGTACTGGTTGCCCATGGACTCAGTCAGGCTTTGAATATATTGTCTGGTCCCACCTTTTATGTCAGTCTCTTGCTTCTTTTCTATTTCTCAAAAATTATTACCTAAGGCCACTATAATTTCTTACTGATTGACTTACCGATTGATATCAGGGGTGTCCTACCAGCTGCAAAATGGAACGGAATAAACTTGATGTGAGATCTCAGTTGTAATAGGCAGACATGATGCTGTCTCAATTTTCACTGCAGCCTTCCTCTGACTTCACCTTTCTTTACACAGTTGATGGACTGGACAAAGCTTCCAGAGCCAACTCAGATGGCCCCACGGCAGGTTCCCAGACACCGCCCCTCAAGAGAAAGGGGAAGCTCTCCACCATTGGTAAAATCTTCAAGCCTTGGAAATGGAGAAAAAAGAAAACCAGCGACAAATTTAGAGAAACCTCAGCAGGTAGGAGTGGCCAAACTGTTGCAAAGATAGGGTAAATTGTTAAATTTTTTAACAGGTAGAAAATCATATTTTACAAGAGTATTTTTCAGAAAGAACATCATATTTGAAATGAAATTATCTCATTTAAGGATGAAACAACTTAAGAGTTCTTATTTTAATATAGTTTTGTTTTAAAATATATATTTATAAATTCTTGCTAAAGCTGTTATATGGGAAAGAGGAGATAAAATAGAAAATTATAAATGGAAGTGTTATTTATCAACATTGTGGTGGCAACCACCCATTCTTCCACACACATCCATTTACATGTCCATCCATCTAAAGCTAGTAGCACAAAAAATAAGTAGCACTTATTTTTGAAGTGTTTTTGATGTATTTTTTTCCCAGTGGAAAGATTTAAATGATTGTGTGAAAGAAAAGTGTTGCTGTGTTTGTTTAACTTTAAATTTCCACCATGTCCTTAGGAAAATGAAGAGGGGTCTACCCTAAGACAGCCATAACCTCATGGGTGGGAAAACTTTTTCTTTGTGAATTTATTAAACTTTAAGAATTATGGTGTTTAGTACCTTTCATGTGAACTCATGGAGGAAGCTGGTTTTAAATCTAAGGCCACCATTAAACCCAATTTAAACAAAACTAAGTGTTCATTGTATTTTGTTTAAGAACAAAATAAGAACATATATCTCTTGATATACCTTCAACTTTCTTGATGCTTACTCTCCAAACAGTCCCTTCATCAAAATTCCTCATCGCACCAGACTCTAGTATTGACGATGTGTGTATAGTGTCGTTAGCATGGCTTAGTGGTCTGTTCTAAAACTGGCCCATGGTTTAAAGCTGCAAAAGAAACCAGAGAATACTATACACAAGGGTGTGTGATACAGGCATCGAAGCTCCCTGAAGAAAATTGTCTCTGATGCATTTACAGTTAGGTCATTTCTTTAAATACTTACTATCTAATAAGAAATAATGATACGTGAGATTTCTTTTAAAATTATCCTGGAGTTGGAGTAGGGTGGGTAAGAGTATAAAAGGTTGTCTGAGAGTTCACAGTTCTTTAAACTGGACAATGGGTCCATGGTGTTTTTTATTCTTATCTGTAGGTATTAGAAAATATCCATAATTAAAAAAAACAGAAGAGAGACTTGGTGTAGGGGAAAATAATGATATTTTGGTTACTGGATCCTCTTCAGTGTTCGAGTGGCTCCCTGGGTTATGAGGCTGTGGGAATTGGTGGATCAAAGGCTATGCTGAGTGAGGACAAGTGGATGGTGTTTTTGGCACGAAGGCACCAGATGTCCCTGATCAACTCAGATTCAGCCTTTACACCTCAGTTTCCTATTTTGTAAAATCAGGAAGTTGAATGAACTGAATTCCAAGGTGCTTTAGCTCCAGATTCTGTTGTTGGTTCCCAGGGAGACCCTGTACTCTCTCATCTCTGTCTGGGCAGCTCGCTCTCCCCACTTTTCATGATGGACCCACGAAATAGCTCCTTCTCACATGTGTCCTAAGCTTTTCCAGGATCTAGCTCTTCAGACCTCCATGCTTACCCAAGATGGAATAGGGCTTCAGACCATAGCATTAAGAAGATGATAAGTATGGGACGCCTCTTTGGTTGTCTCTCTTGCCCTGTATCTGAATCTGGGCTACTGATTTCATCTCCTTAGAGAAGATCCTTACAGAGAATTTCACCTTCCTCTTTCCTTGTTACTTCTTTTTAATCATAAGTATTTTATTGTCACATATTGTATATTTATTTTAACACTTTAATTCCTCCTGAGATATGTGAAATGTATCAGTTAAATAAAGGTACAAAATGATATATATGTGCCTTTAGAATAACTACTTGGTATATACTCAAAAAATGTGCCTTAATTGAATGTTCCCTATAACAAAAAAATGCTGTACTGGGTAATTTAGGAGTTCATAAAAGAAACTAAAGATGTAAAAAAATCATAATGGTAAAGAAAAAGACAACAAATTAAAATACTAACCAAAAACATGCACTTCACAGTTATAATCATACTATATATATAAAATCAGCTATTAAGAGACTGATAAAATAATTAGGGGATATTCTGCTTTCCTATCTTTTGCCCTTGTTTAAAAGTAAATTATACTCCTAAATGAGGAAAATCGAGGCAGTTTATCTCCACTAACATTGTGCTTTTATTTGCATAGTTAGTGATGCCAAAGGAATGAATGCCTGTCTAGATTTTTAGATAACATTGCTCCACATCTCAGCATTCTAGGAACCAGGCTAACTTGTAGCGAGTAATCTGGTAAAAACTTTAATTTACTGAAGGTACACTATATTCCCAATAAAACTAATGGCTATTTTTTGTTGAATTCTATTATATACCAAGTTCTGCCTCAAGAAATTAATTCCTACTGACTTGTTAAATCATCAAAACAACCTTGTGAAGTTTAGGTGCTACTCTTACATAGTTCTGCTGATGAGAAGACTGGGCTCAGAAAATTTGCCTGTCTTGGTAGGAGGCAAAGGCAGTATTTGTTTTGTTTTGTTTTTTAAACTTTTTTTTTTTATTCATATGTGCATACAAGGCTTGGGTCATTTCTCCCCCCTGCCCCCACCCCCTCCCTTACCACCCACTCCGCCCCCTCCCTCTCCCCCTACCCCCTCAATACCCAGCAGAAACTATTTTGCCCTTATCTCTAATTTTGTTGTAGATATAATAGGAAGGAACAAGGGTTTTTGCTGGTTGAGATAAGGATAGCTATACAGGGCATTGACTCACATTGATTTCCTGTGCGTGTGTGTTACCTTCTAGGTTAATTCTTTTTGATCTAACCTTTTCTCTGGTTCCTGGTCCCCTTCTCCTATTGGCCTCAGTTGCTTTTAAGGTATCTGCTTTAGTTTCTCTGCGTTAAGGGCAACAAATGCTAGCTATTTTTTAGGTGTCTTACCTATCCTCACCCTCCCTTGTGTGCTCTCGCTTTTATCATGTGCTCAAAGTCCAATCCCCTTGTTGTGTTTGCCCTTGATCTAACGTCCACATATGAGGGAGAACATACGATTTTTGGTCTTTTGGGCCAGGCTAACCTCACGCAGAATGATGTTCTCCAATTCCATCCATTTACCAGCGAATGATAACATTTCGTTCTTCTTCATGGCTGCATAGAATTCCATTGTGTATAGATACCACATTTTCTTAATCCATTCGTCAGTGGTGGGGCATCTTGGCTGTTTCCATAACTTGGCTATTGTGAATAGTGCCGCAATAAACATGGGTGTGCAGGTGCCTCTGGAGTAACCTGTGTCACAGTCTTTTGGGTATATCCCCAAGAGTGGTATTGCTGGATCAAATGGTAGATCAATGTCTAGCTTTTTAAGTAGCCTCCAAATTTTTTTCCAGAGTGGTTGTACTAGTTTACATTCCCACCAACAGTGTAAGAGGGTTCCTTTTTCCCCGCATCCTCGCCAACACCTGTTGTTGGTGGTGTTGCTATGATGGCTATTCTAACAGGGGTGAGGTGGAATCTTAGTGTGGTTTTAATTTGCATTTCCTTTATTGCTAGAGATGGTGAGCATTTTTTCATGTGTTTTTTGGCCATTTGAATTTCTTCTTTTGAGAAAGTTCTGTTTAGTTCACTTGCCCATTTCTTTATTGGTTCATTAGTTTTGGGAGAATTTAGTTTTTTAAGTTCCCTGTATATTCTGGTTATCAGTCCTTTGTCTGATGTATAGCTGGCAAATATTTTCTCCCACTCTGTGGGTGTTCTCTTCAGTTTAGAGACCATTTCTTTTGATGAACAGAAGCTTTTTAGTTTTATGAGGTCCCATTTATCTATGCTATCTCTTAGTTGCTGTGCTGCTGGGGTTTCATTGAGAAAGTTCTTACCTATACCTACTAACTCCAGAGTATTTCCTACTCTTTCTGTATCAACTTAGAGTTTGGGTCTGATATTAAGATCCTTGATCCATTTTGAGTTAATCTTGGTATAGGGTGATATACATGGATCTAGTTTCAGTTTTTTGCAGACTGCTAACCAGTTTTCCCAGCAGTTTTTGTTGAAGAGGCTGCTATTTCTCCATCGTATATTTTTAGCTCCTTTGTCAAAGACAAGTTGGTTATAGTTGTGTGGCTTCATATCTGGGTCCTCTATTCTGTTCCACTGGTCTTCATGTCTGTTTTTGTGCCAGTACCATGCTGTTTTTATTGTTATTGCTTTGTAATATAGTTTGAAGTCAGGTATTGTGATACCTCCTGCATTGTTCTTTTGACTGAGTATTGCCTTGGCTATTCGTGGCCTCTTGTGTTTCCATATAAATTTCACAGTAGATTTTTCAATCTCTTTAATGAATGTCATTGGAATTTTGATGGGAATTGCATTAAACATGTAGATTACTTTTGGGAGTATCGACATTTTTACTATGTTGATTCTACCAATCCATGAGCATGGGAGATCTCTCCACTTTCTATAGTCTTCCTCAATCTCTTTCTTCAGAAGTGTATAGTTTTCCTTGTAGAGGTCTTTCACATCTTTTGTTAGGTTTACACCTAGGTATTTGATTTTTTTTGAGGCTATTGTAAATGGAATTGTTTTCATACATTCTTTTTCAGTTTGCTCATTATTAGTGTATAGAAATGCTAATGATTTTTCTATGTTGATTTTATATCCTGCTACCTTGCTATAGCTATTGATGATGTCTAGAAGCTTCTGAGTAGAGTTTTTTGGGTCTTTAAGGTATAGGATCATGTCGTCTGCAAATAGGGATATTTTGACAGTTTCTTTACCTATTTGTATTCCTTTTATTCCTTCTTCTTGCCTAATTGCTCTGGCTAGGAATTCCAGTACTATGTTGAATAGGAGTGGAGATAGTGGGCATCCTTGTCTGGTTCCTGATTTTAGAGGGAATGGTTTCAGTTTTTCTCCGTTAAGTATAATGCTGGCTGTAGGTTTGTCATATATAGCTTTTATAATGTTGAGGTACTTTCCTTCTATTCCTAGTTTTCTTAGAGCTTTTATCATGAAAT